TGTAGACGGATTTGGCCTGTCTTGGGCTTTTCGCTACCTTTTGGGGTTCCAAACCTCAAAATCGTGCGAAAAAGTCTGATCTATTTTTATTTTACATGTGTGTACTCCTTACTCTCGGGGCATGGTCATCACTTATTTTATGCATAAAAGATACAGAGGGTAGGGGAGATACTGCCAACTAGTGTCAGTTCAAATGTCATACGATTTTCCCGCAAAATGAGCCAATTTTATTACGACATTGCCTCCACATTATCTTGGCAAGTTCAAATTTTGAACAACATTATGTTCTCAAGCCCCCGAATTTCAGGCAAAGAAAAAAAAACGATATTTGAACCATCTTTACTCACATTAGTCTCTTTTATTTTTTTTTTTTTTAAACATATTTTTCTTAAGAACTGCACTTATCCGACTTGTCTTTGAAGCCACTTCATTTCTGAGGAGTTACTCTGAATAACCACTTACAACGAATATGGATATTTTTCAGAAAACCGCAAATGAAATAAGTATTCTTATGCTTGCAGTTTTTATCAATGTTGGTGAAACCTTGAAAGGGCATACTCATTTTGATCGATCAGCATAACGAAAAACATTTTAAATTAAACGAAGCTGCAAAAAAAAATCCAATTCTGATTGGTTCTCGCTCATGGAGTCACAAAAGAGTGCACCAAGATGGCGGTGGCTCGAATGTGAACAAAATCAATGAAAATATAACCTATTTGTGATTTAATCAAGAGTAAATTGTTATTTTCATCGCACCAAACTGAAAATAGATTAAGAAATTGTTCACAAATCAATCTCATTTAATTTTATTGCAATTTCTTTAGTTAGGTTTTGATCAGTTTTCAGAGCTCGAGTTCAGATTACAGATACTTCTAAAGAATTCAGTTTTTTAAAATTACAACTTCGTAGCGCTATTTTAGAGGCCCATTGAGCGCCGACCGGACGCTCAGTGGGCCTGTAATTTTAAAAAAGAGAATTTTTTGGAAGTATCTGTAATTTCTGAACTCAGCTACCCTCAAGAGTCCCTAATATTGCATTTTCAGGGTGTCTACAAGATTTTCAGAATGAAATTCCCTGACAATTCCAGGTTTTCCATGACAAAAAATGACAAAATTCCCTGACTTTTTGGGTTTAGCCATACGATGAGCTGGTTAAAAAATATTTAAAAAAAACTATCCTTAGGAATGACCCCGTAAAGTCATATTCTGAATTACCATGGCGTTGGAAGGAGTTGAGTAATACTTTTGAAAGGAACGAGATCCTAAATACTCAAAATAAAGCTAATTCCAAAATGGTATACTCAGAGCAAAATTCAACTCAAAAATTTAATTTTTAAGCTCTACTACGCTCTCTTTGTGACATATCGCCCCGTATACTTTGGAAAATTCAAACTATAGTTTACCCTGGAGGTTTCATAAATATTGGCATATTACTTAGTGCCCTGAAAATACAAGTCTCTTTTTTTCAAAATATAAAACAAGGGTTGTAAATGTGCCTAACTCAGGCAGATTTTGCTATAATCAAGAGGAAATACGAGTCTCTTCTCGATTTTAGGTAAATTTGCTTGATTCGGGATTTTTTTTTTTTTAAAAAAAAAAAAAGTCAATTAATTCAATAGATTCCATTCCTTACATGAACCTATTGTTGGTACTGAATTTGTCTTAGACTCAACAACCAATAGTATTCTACAGGGTGGATGCACCAGTTGTGAACATGTTTATTTAAGAACCAGAAAAATTTCATGCAAAATGCAGTTGACATTAATTAAATATTTCTTTACTCAGTTAAAGAAAAACTAAAATTCCAGCACTTTCATTAAATTTCCTAACTTACTGAAAAAATTGATTAACCGTCATGAGCGGAACTAGGAATTTTTTGTGGGGGGGGGGGCACAGAAGGATATATGGCTTGGGCTAAGGGGGGTCTGGAGGGACTCCCCCACCTGCAGAGGGGGGTCCAGGGGGTCTCCCCCGGAAAATTTTTGAAAATTAGAACGTCTTGAGAGCAATTTAAAGCCATTCTCAATGAAAAATTAAATGGAATTAAATATTAAAGATGACAGAAATTTTGCTGACTTGTTTTAAATCTTACTGAGGGTTTTAATTGAATATATTTTAATTTAACTCTCGTGAAAACAATTATTAAGCTAAAATGCGCGAAAAACTACAACCGGATACAGTCAAACTGCATTCCATGTTCCTTACTCGGAGGAAGCTGCTCTCTTTGCAAGTAATTTTCATTTTTCTGACATCTTTGATCGATTACATTGGGATTAAACCCATATTTATTACATTCCATATGCCTTTTACCTCAAAGTTAATTATTAGCTTGGGTCCTTGACATTTTTGGAAGGGGCCAATCAGCATTGTGGGGGGGAGGGGGGCCCTATTTCCGCCCATGTTAACCATCTGCTCAAAACTGGGGCACTCACCTTAGAAAATCTAAATAAAAATGCAAAGTCACTCAAAACACACATTAGCGAACCTAGCGGCCGTGTTGCAAACTGGTTGAACAAAGCAGTTTACATTATCAGTCACGCGAGCGCGCTACTCGGCCAATTCGGCTATGACGAGCAAAAATAGCCGCGGAATGTTCGAATTGCGAAAATTCCCTGACTTTCACCAGTTTTCAATCGAATTCCCTGACTTTTCCCGGTTTTCCAGACAGTGATCAAATTCCCTGATTTTTCCCGGTTTTCCAGACCTGCAGACACCCTGATTTTGCTCGGTTTGAACATTCAATCTGATTTAATAACAGTCAAATCTGACTTTTATGCGCGCGAAAATCGGTCGACCTGCGTTGAGCGGAAACTTCAATCGATCATAACTCCGGAACCGTTTGGTTCTCCGGCTTCATGGACCACTCGTTGGATGCGGAAAAAGACGAACAATTTAAAAACTGGTTTTGGTTCAAATAAAAAATTGAGATCGTTGTAAGTTCTTGGTTTAAAAGAAATTTTCGAGACCCAAAAACTGGAAAAAAGCACATATGTTGACTTAAAAATGTGATATCGGGATTTCAACCTTTAGAATCTTAAAGTATGCAATTTTAGACGATTTTTCGTCCAAACCGGACCTCGATATCTTTCTTTGTTCGAGAGTTATCGAGGTTCACAGGTTTTGACTTCCATCCCCCTACCGCCTCCCCAAAATTTCTTGGGGGTCTGAAAATTTAGGAAAAGAAGTGCTCAAGTATGAGAAATCAGTGGACAAAGTCTGAAGAAATTCCAGAGTGGAGGGAAAAAAAAACCGTTTTAGCATCAAGCTCTTCAAGTGGTTATCAAATCATAAGTTAAATCTTCAATTGGCGTGGCAGCAGCAAGCAAATCCGTTTGTGTATAAGATGTATATAAGATTTCGATTGTTTCGTAAAGCTTTGCGAATTTCAAAACACTCTAATACTTTATTTCTACTAAGATGTATGGTTTCTAAGTTTTCTTGGACACTACCAATGTTGTGCTTACTTTTGTTAATGTGTATAAATATTTGCGATTGGTGGTCTATCTTGTGTTCAGCATGTCTTTTATTAAAATTACGTGCTGTTTTACTGATGGAAACGGCATCACAATCAATTTAGTATACACCATTACAATTAATTTTGCATACACATCTATTTTATCAAATTGCATTTGATTTTTTAAAGTTTGACAAAATTTGTGCCATAAATTACTATCAGTACTAAAAGCTGGCTTATAACCATATGTAAGAGAGACCACCAATCGCGAGTATTTAAACATATTTTAAGGAAAATAAGCACAAAATTGGCAGTATTCAAGAGAACTTAGAAATCATGCATCTTAGTAGAAATAAAAACATCTTAAAGTCTCAGAATGTTTTGAAATTTGCAAAGTCTTGCGAAACAATCAAAATCTTATTAACACACAAACGGATTTGCTTGCTGCTGCCACGCCAATCATAGATTTAATTTATAATTTGACAACTACTTAAATTTCAGTGCGGTTTCTCATTTGCTGTTAATACCTGTCCAAATCCTAGTTGTTGAATCACCGACCAGTTATCAGAGTAGGTTTTCGATTGTAGCCTGTTTGCGTCTTACAGCTCGCAAACCCACTATGTAGTTTTTACTCTAGTTTCTTATTTTTAATGATTTGCTAATATTTATTTTATGCGTAATACCCTGATGATGGTTATGTTAGCCAAAATGCAACGGTATGTGAGTTGGAAAATTTGTACTTACTTCATGCATGTAGGCAACCATCCATTTTTGTTTGAAAATCAATTTATAGATGCAATAATGCATAGTTACAGAAAATTGTTATTTTTCAATCATCGCTTTAACCTCACTTTGGAAGGGGCGATGGATGAGTCGAGGTTTGGCGGGAGGGATCCTCTGAGTCGGGCATCCAACTCACAGTCAATAGTCTATGTTAGATTAAGTTGTACGCCCTGCAGATAGTATATCCTGCGCCTTCTTCCTGCTCCAGTTCAGAGCCTACTGACAATGAGAGGATTGCAAATTTGAAATTTTCAATGTGAGTTTTTGAGAGTGCTCTGAACGTAGCGTTCACCACAGTACGGCATCCTGTAGAACTCATCCCTGAGTCTACCTACGAATAATACTTAGGAAATATGAAAGGTTTAGCAACATCCAAGGGGGGGGGGGCGGCAAAGACGGCCCTGGAAGCAATTCTTTCTTTCAAACATTAGGGACATCCTAGAGAACCCCCCCCCCCTTTTTGCCCACAAAGAGGGTCAATGAGACAGTGAAATTTGAATTCTTTGGAATTAATTCCCTTTTCATACCTACCGTCCCTGGCTCTACCGACTAGAAAAAAAAAATCGAGAAAGAAAACTGCTTACGCAAGCCTGGAACAACTTGTAAGAGAGAGGTTAAAAGGTTTTTGCGGGTCCAGGCTTGCGATCGTTACCGCGATTGCCGCATTAAAACCTTAGTTGCGTTTTTACTTTCTTTCATAAACCTAACAATAGCAGAAAGCCTCAAACAGCTTTAGCTAGGTAAAAAGGTTTTACACTGACAAATTGGAAAGAAACAAGTTTTATGCATGTGAAATAAGAAAATAAATTAAGAAATAATACAATTAAAAGTGAGACAGGAACCAGAGACAGAGAAACGAATGACTTATACAAATTTGCAACACATTGTATTTCATAAATGATTCAACAGCTTTCAGTGGCTATTTGTGGATTGCATTTTGCAAAAAAGAACCAAGAGCATTCCATTGTTACTAAGAGTATGCAACTTACATTTCTTGCAATGAAATTACTGAAACCTTGCAGAAAGTTAAATCTACTATGCTAATTTTAGTATTGAATTTATAGTTCATTGGGAGTAAGGATAAAACTTGTTAAGATGATCAATTTATATTTGCAAGGTAAAAAAAGTTGCACAATCTTAGCGACACTGGAATACATGTGGTTCGTTTTTGCAAAATGGAATCATTGTAAGGAAATCATTATTGATCCATGTGTCAATTTTTATGAAATCTTGACAACATCAGTATGGTCTAGACTCAATAGGGTTTAACTTTGCATTAGAGGGAAAACATGGTCTAGCCATTGATTTCAATGTATTTTGGGTCGTTGAAACTGAATGAGCGCGTTAAATGCAAAATCTCGGCCCAGAACGATTTTAGTGAAAAATCTGTTTTTTTTCCAACGTTTTTGGGAGTTCAGCTTTCAAAAATAGCTAACTTCTTGTCGAGTTCTCGATCAATTTAGCCTAGTCCAAAATTAAATTCCATAAAATTTGCAAGAGCATCAGTTTAATATATGTATTTGAATTAAGAAGCATGGCTGCTAAAGCGTGACAGCGTTGTTGGTTTAAAATCCAAGTAGTTTGTTTCTAGTGTTTCATGATTTCATGAAAAACCCAGTGAAAACGTTACTTTTGGGGAAATGGTATCTGTTCAGATGGAAGTAGTTGTAAATGCTTCAGGTGAGAAGCAAATCTAATCTTGCATTGCGTTATTTTTGCCATTTTCTATGTCCCTAACACTCTTTTAAACCGAAAAGAAGTGTCTCTGAATGATTTTAAACACACCTTTCATAATTTTGATCCCTCAAGGTGACGTAATTGATTGTTCAAAACTATTCAATAAATACAAAAGCCAATGGGGAAAATGACTTCTTCCACTCAATCAGTGTGATGGATACCATTTAATACATTTCATAGCTAATATTCTCAGTATACTTAACTGAAAGGGTGACAGAAAATCATGCGGGGAGAGGGAGGGGGCGAGAACTTCCCCTATCCAGGATGGCTAGCAAAGTTTCATTTGATCGTTCCCTAACTTCTAATGAAATTCCCTGACTGTTTCATGATAACGAAAGGGCACTTAATTAATGTGGTCTAAACGTTGGCACAACAACGCGATCAGCTGACCCGTCGCGGACCCGATTTTTACTTGGAACCCAACTCCACAAATAATGCCCTGACCGTTGACGAAATTCCCTGACTTCTTCTGGTCCTTTTCACATGCTTCTCCCCTTCATCTAGTGTCATTCTTTGTTCCTGTTGGGCATTTATTTTCAAACCAAACTCGTTAATTATTCTAGGATGCTCATTGTCTGATGTCTTTTTTTTTTTGAGAAACCCCCGCCCTCTTCTCCTACACCTAAACAATTAATATTTACGATCAATAATTTGTTGTATTGAGGAGACTAGCAGTTAATACTCACTAGGGTAATTCCTTGTACACCTCCGTGCATGTACCGGCCATGAAGTGGTATAATTCACGAGATTGAGGAAAGAAAATTCTTTTGAACTATCAAGTTACATGAGTTACTAGAGTGGCAGTATTTTTGGGCACCTTGAGAGTCAAAAACCTTGACCTGTATTATCTGCTATAATAAATTTTGAGAACAGAATGTCCCTCATGGTCAATTTTCAGTTTCAGCATGGCTTTCAGCGTGTTTAAGGCACAATTTTTATGGGATTTTTAGTGCACTGTTCTTGCAACATAAAGAATGGCAAAAATGACGCAATGCAAGATTACATTTGCTTCTCACCTTTAGCATTTCCTTCTATTTCTATCTGATCGATATCATTGCCCCAAAATTTACGTTTCCACTAGGTTTTTCTTGAAATCATGGAATACCAAAAGAATAATTCGATTTTCCACCGAAAACGCGGTCGCATTCTGGCGGCCATAATTTACAGAAAGTCGTCAAGCTGATGTTCTTGCAAATTTTGTAAACTTTCAATTCAAACGGAGTTAAAATCGAAAAATCCACAGGAATAAAAAAGCGTTGGAAAAAATGATGGCAACATTCTGAGCTGTTTCGTGCGCGAAATTCAAGTTCCGATTCAGCATCTCAAAATAGGTAAGAATCAATGGCTCCAACTAACTCTCTATCCAATGCAAGCTAAATCCATGTTTTGCTTTATGGTGTCTGAACTAATATTATTCTCCGGACTAAATCATTGATCCCAAATGAAAAATTCTGTAAAACCAAATTAAAAAAACTGAAGTACATATAGTAATCATTAGCATTTACAAGTAAAATTATCATTTATTTCTATGTATACATTATATGATCAGTCCTTCCGAGCAAGAAGTCTTTTTACATACATTCTGGTGGAGCGATTTAGACACTAGGCACAAATAAAAAATAACAACTTATAGAACAAGAAAAAGTTGCACTGATCTTGTCAAACGGAAACCAATGGTAAGGTTGAAATTGATTTTCCTAAGAAATTTAAAATGAACCTTACACGAAAGTCTATATTTTGTTGAAAGCAGCAATGTCAACACTCTGGACCTGAAACAGGACAAACAAAGGTTGAAAGTGAGGACCCTTGGATTATCAGAGTCTTTGGTAGAGGAAACAAACACAGCTTTCAAGTAACACATTGTTAGTTATTGTGCAAGATCATAATTTTCTCTGGATAAATTTACCTAAGTTGGCACTAATGTAAATTTGACTCTCCTCAACGGGCATCACTGTTTTGCTCGCACCTGATTGGTTGGTGCCCAACCTTCTTATTTTTTCCCTTCTTATTTTTTCTCCTCTCTTTTTCCCTCCCTCACTGTTGAGATAGTCAAGATGGAGTGCTTTTGTATCGTTTTTTTCTTCATGTTCGTCATTCGTATTGAATTCCGAATAAAGCTATGAAAATCTCAAAGAAAAATGTCTTTTTCTTAAGCTCTATTAACAGGTTATAGAGCCCAGACCTGTTAATCGCAAGTGTTCCATAGCTAAAATGTGTCAAATGTGTGGTCGGTACTAGTTGCTTCACGTTGAGTTTTTCAAGTGCGTCTCGTGGTTGCGTTCACGCGATCGAACTGAGTGGCCGACAAACCCGGGAGTTAGTGTTTTTTTTTGACAGTCTACATCTCATCGGAAATTTGAAGCTGAATGACAATAACTACTTCCCCTAGTCGGTAAAGGTACGTACTTTGCTAGCTCAGCGTGAATGTCTGGAGGCGATAGACCCAGGGTATGGAGATGAGACTGAATTTGTTAAATTCTCAGACGCAGAAAAGAAAAAGAATGCCGCAGGACGCAGCCCTTTCGGTCATTATCCTGACTGTAAGCAATAAGTTCATAGACTATATTAGGTTTTGGAAGACTGCCAAGAAAGCTTGGGACACTCTCGAATCTTTACATCAAGATTATGGATTAATGCAACAAATAGAGGTTTTAGAAGACCTGACGACCTTACGGAAGGGAGACATGTCTGTGTCAGATTATGTCGCCAAACTAATGGACCTGAATCGGAAGGTTATGAAAACAGGTATTAAGTTTGGACAACACACTCTCGCTCTCTTGCTCTTAAGAGGTATACCCAAAGATAAATATGAAGTTTTTATTCGCTCATTGGAATTGAAGGATAAATTGAATCTTGACAATGTAATTGCCATGGTCTTAATTGAAGAAAAGCGTCAGAAGAGAGACGAAGAAGCTGAACTAAAGCAAGACGAAGCCAAAGCATTAGCAGCTTTTCAGAGATCTGGTACCAAGAAGAAGAAGCAGTTTAAAAGTAAACCAGTGTCGAAGGAAGAAATCGCTGAAACAAAAACCAAACAGCAACACACAATCAATGAAGGAAGGATCTATAAATGCTTCACCAGCAGCAAGTTTGGTCACGTAGCCAAAAATTGTCCTGGCGTGAAGGAATTCTTGAAGACCAAGGAAGGTAACAAGGACCCTGCATCCGGAGCAGCAAAGAGCGCTGTAAGTAACCTTATAGATATTTACACTTCTGGAAGAGCTTATTGTTCCGTCGGTCGGAAGAATTATCTCAAACAGCAGTTGTGGTACCTTGACTCTTGTTGTTCGGACCACATGAGCCCAATTAAAGAAGATTTTGTTGACTTGGACGAGAGCGTCAGAGGAACCATCACTATGGGAAATGGTGACACTGCCGAAATCGCTGGAAGAGGTGTAGTGAAGGTGACAACTTCTGATGGCGATGGAGCAGGACTGGTTCGATCGAAAGAAGCCCTCTTCGTTCCAGAGCTCGAGTGTGCCCTAATGTCCGTAGCAAGGTTAACAGCGAAGAACCTGGATGTGGTGTTCTCAGGAGAGACCGGTATAGTCCTTGATAATGAAGAGTTGATCTTCAAAGCAAAGAAGCAGAAGAATGTGTATGTCATCCGAACAAAAAGAGTAGAACTGGAAGTTGAATAGACAGACAACAGCCAAAATGTCAAAACAGGTGTTGCCTGCCGTGTGACCACAAATTGGAAAACATGGCACAAGCGTCTAGGTCATGTACAAGCGGGATCGTTATTCCTGCGAAAAATAGTTTTCCGTAACCCGCCGTACATGACTCAGTTGACCACAGGAGATTACCCGGGCTCGAAGTCATGTTAGTCAAGAAAGCCTTTCCCCTCATTGATATCGCACCTTCTCCGACCGTATCTCTCACATCTTCGTTTCCCCTCATTGCAGCATGCATCAAATAGCGATTATCCGGAATATACGATCACACGTTTTATCTGATCGATTCCGTCGCCCACTTTTACTGATACGGAAGACAAGACTTGTCTCACTGGGTCAACAGTCGGTTAGTTTAATTTCATTTCGAAGAGGACAGAAGATCCATCGCTCTTGGCGCCCTGACCCTGCTGATATCTAGGCGCCAGTGTAAGGCGCCATGCAAGCGGGGGGGGGGGGGGGGGGCAACCAGCCTTTGTGTTTGAGCTAATTGAAAATTACTTCGATTTTTTGTTTCTTTTTAATATTACTTTCTTTTTAAAAAATCAAAATATTCAAAACTTGTGTAACACAAGTCGTTTGTTATGGATCACTTCCTTTTATCAGGTATTGTCTTGATTATGATAAGAAATTAAAAAAATATTAATCATGTTTCAATCGTGTTTAATCTTCATAGTATTTTCTTTCTTATTATTTAATACTCGTCCCCCCCCCCAAAAAAAAGAAATATTTGATATAAGGGCATAACTTGATAAGATAAGGAAACTGTAAATAATGCTTCAGTCGTTTGTGTATGAAATATTTTGCTCTTACGAAAGCTTTCGTGAATAGTACTAAATAATGCTATTGAAGATTTTTATTAAATTTAAATTAAATGTATTTTCTGTCTCAAGCAATGAGTTCCTTCCAATAATGTGATCAATTCAAAGAATAAATCAATCAGGAAGAAGAAAACTCCTGAATAAAGATGTAAGTTTTGTATCTTTGAAATTAAAATAATTTATATCCTCAGTAGAGGAGTAGAAATGAAACATCACTTTAAAAAAATCATAGGTCAACAGAAATGTAGAAACAAAGTATAACAAAAATACATCAATACCAACAAAATAAAACAGTTGAAGCCCAAAGCCTTTCAAAGCTACAGTCTGGCTCCTTATGAGATTTCTATATTTCATTTGACCTAATCGTAAAACAATTTAATAAAAATAAATACAATCTTCTACGCTATATTTGACACGCCTGTCTTTGAAGAAATATTGAAGAAATCTAAATCCTCAATATTAGTTAACTTTGGTAGAAAGCATCTCGCCAATTGTTAGGAACCAGGAGGAAATAATGAGAAAGCTAGAAAAAATTATTTTTTTCAGGGTCAACGGTGGGCCAAGCGCCAAATATTCAACAATAAAATCGAGATGTTGTAAAACCAAGTAATACTGAGAATATTGAGAGGAGGGTGGCATATCTCTTTCCGCAAGAGCTATGATGACCTTGATTAGCATTTGAAGCACCCAAAAGGAAGGAACTTCATAGGGGTTGGTACCCTATAGCTTATTTGACTTAAATATCTGACACGATTAACTGACTGTTTAAAAAAATAATGAAGATTTGGCAATTAAAAACAATACAACTATTCTCGCAAGATGGATTGCACATGAAAAATGTAAGACGCGATGGCGTGAGTCGTGAACTCGCAATCGTAATGCCCCGCTCTAGTTTAAGCAGCATTGCAAATAAGACAAACGGAAACAAACACAACATGGAAACAGAGGGAGGGAAAGGATGCGCGTTAGCGATGGCGCAGAGATACAACTATTCGTGCTTGAAGGACGTCCGTGCTGCGTCTGAAAAATTGAAGGCGCGATGACGCGAAGCGTAAGTTCTCAATGCTGTGCTATATGCTGCCAATTAGGTGTTGCTCAGATTCGGGAGAAAAGTTAAAAAAGAGGCCCGAACACATCTCTCCTACCTTCGGCTGTGTTATTCACGTAGTGCTTGCAGCACCATTACGAATGAGACAAACGGAAACAAACACAATATGGAAGTGGAGGGATGGAAAGGGTGCCCGTTTACGACGGCGCAAAGATACAACTATTCGTACTTGATGGACGTCCGTTAGGGTGTGCCTTATTTTTGAGTTTTGCGAAAATCAAGTTGGTCAACCCCTAAAAAGTTTCTATGTAGTCTCTAAATTAACCCCCTAAAAGGAAAAAAATTTAAAAAAATTTTAACCCGTGCCTCAAAGGGCCTAAAGGGCCTAAACCCAAAATTCAAAAATTTTGGCAAGCGACA